CGGCCAACAGCAGGCCTTGCCAGCTTATCATTGAATTTAATTGAATTGAATTGATGCCTTATTTTACGTGGCCAGGCTCGACCCTTCAGGCCCGCTCTTCCGTCTAACCACACAAATTTCGCTACGCTCCTTTCACCAACTAGCAGAGAAAGCAGGGAGAAAAACTTCTTGGGTGAGAAATAGGCAATTTGAATTTTGCTCAGAGCCGTCATTTAGGCTTGAGGATCTTTCATATGCAAGTAAGTCTACTAACATGGGACAGCCGGCTTTACTTCCTCTCCGAGGGAAGACGTGTGATGGATTTTTCCGCCCTTAAAAATCCACGGGTTTGATCGGGGTTGAACCCGCCAACTTAGGTATAACAGTCCGATACGCTAAGCGTTACACCATCGCCGCGCGCAAATCGCCGCGCGCATTTTTGTTGTTGTAGGTAACCTGAATCTATTGAGGAAATGTAATATAAAGCATATTGTAACGCCCAGAGCGCAGTGGACTGCAACATTCAAAATATTCCTTAAATACGCGTCGCCAGAAATCAAAATTACTCAAATTTTTAAAATCTACCTTACGACAAAATGTATATGGTCGGATTCATCTTTTTTCGCTCGTCATGAGAGACTAAATATGATACATAGAGAAAAATACGTATAGTTCCATTTAAAACAAAGTTACCTCCATATCTTGTAAAATACAAGGAATGAAATGGAAACGAATACGTACATAAATTATACACTTCCCTCATGCACGGCCGTGAAACCTGTGCAATAACTTGAACCGTTCAAAAATTGCTAAAATCGTGACTCACCACGTATATTATTGTCGTTTGGGGATAAGGGAGCTATGCAGCGTGCCTGACATTCCCTTGACCGTACCTAGCATACTAGACCTACCTAAGGTATTATTGCGTCACACAGATACAGAAAATGAGACGATTGTATTAGAAAGTGCGGGAATTACTCCGATCGGGAATCAATCCCAGGATCGCACCATGGAAAGCTAACACGTTTTCCATGGGCTACTCGTAGGCTGGTTTTAGAAGTAAGACTGTGTATGCTCCGATTTAACCGTAATGTCCTTTCAAGGACAAGCACTGGAAGGAGAAGGAAAAACTGCCATCCAACCGGAAACTTTGTGCGACCTAAATTTTCAGTCTGGCAGCTCCCGATTTAGCGACCCCTTCCTCGCTGTTCGTGACCTTGAAGGGACATTGCGTTTAAATCGGATAATAATGTGCTAAACGTGCGGTTGCGACAGGAAGGCGTTCCGCGACGCGACGGCGGCGGCGGGCACCGGCGCGTCGCTGGTGGCGCTGAGCACGTGGCTGCGGTCGGGCGCCGTGCAGGGCTGGGAGGCGCGCCAGCTGCTGGCGACGGTGCGCGGCGCCGCCCGGGAGCCTTCCCTGGACTATCTCCTCTACTTCAAGGTGAGCGCAACGTAGAGAAGCCCATGGCATGTTCTCATGACCTTCTTTAAATGACTGTGTGTGTGGTAATAATGGTTTGACCTCTTAACTATTGCTCTCTAAAGTGAGGTATCTATTAGATAAATCGAGCTTGAATGTGGGCTGGACAAGCTCCTCTTTAAATCTGATGTAGTAGTTGGAGCGTTCCGCAGATGGTGTCCATTAATTTGTTTTTAATTTTAAGAACTCGCCGCCTACTGGATTTCACGATGTACGCTACGCGTATTTTTCGAGGCCTCCTTAATAATGTAATATGATTCTTCACGATCTTTGACCGTGAAGTAGGTCATAATAATGATGTCGAAATGAAACCGATTGAAAATGAACTTAAGTAAAAATATTATTTTGTCAGTCTAGGCCTTTATTAGATTTTTATGGCAAATCCATTGAATCGAAGGCTCTTGGTCTATGTCTCTTTCATTTTCGGTAATAAAAGTTCAAAAAAAAAAGAGCATCACGCATAAACACTTAATTAAGGGCATTGCTCAGCATAAATTGCTGTTCTCCCAGAAAACCCTTAATAAAGTGTTTGTTAAGCCTTGCGTTTCGTACAACTACTTACCTTTTCCAACTCTCAAACGCATTTTCAGGAATACATCGCATGGCAGAATGACATCCAAGAAATGAATGGTGTCAACACGACGGCGATCCTTACGTTGGGCTCGCTCATCTACGATGCGCGGGACCGACTCCCGGACTCCCCTATGTTGCACCTGGTGAGCCATTTCGTCTTCGGCATGTTCACGTCGGTTATATCCGGAGACCGTCTAAGACTGCAGGTAAGTTTCTCTATTTCTGTTTCTTTCTCAGATACATTAAAATTGCAGTCCAAAACTGTCATCTATTCTGTTAATGCCTCACGACTTGAATCACGATTGAAAATTATATTTTATTGAATGAATGAATTAATATTTAATTAATTAAACAATTAATTTTATTGAATTTAATTTATATTGAAGTTAAAATGGTGCAAACTGAATGCTGTAGAGAAGTGGTTGGAGCTGAAGAAAATACCAGTTTAGAGTCAGTAATATGTTGGTTCACATGGAATGATTGATTTCCAGTAAACAGAGCCCTAATGTCGACGCCACGGCGAGCTCCGCTAATCCCCGCGCTTTGTTTTGCGTCGGACCCTGCAGGTATTCGCCCGCGGCCTTGGCCTGACGGGCCACGACGTCGTGCCGCACGTCTTCTCGCCGTACTTCGAGGGCCTAATGCCGAACATCACCACGTACACGCGCGTGGCCTTGGTAGTGGCGTTGCAGCGCGTGGCGGCCCTGCGGGACGAGGTCACGCAGCGGATGCTCTTCAACTTGTACGAGAACGTGGCGGAGGCCTACGAGGTGCGCGTGGCCGCCGTCTACATCCTCATGTGCTCCAATCCGCCGCTCGACGTGCTCCAACGCATGGCGGCCACGGCGCATCGCGACCCCAGCAACCAGGTGTCCTCGGCCGTGCAAACCGTCCTACAAGCCGCGGCCCAGCTGAAGCAACCCCAGATGCGGGAGCTGTGAGTTGGAGATTGAGCGTGGTCGCTTGAAAACGGTCAAAGTCACGATGGCATTGACAAGGGAATGGAATGCCGGGACATGCAGAAACCCGCGTCCTTGCGGTGGCGGATTTTCGACACTCGTTACTTAGCTCGGTTGAATTGAACCACTGTCTGAAGGAAATTTCAAGCGGCCATTTATTCTGATCGGTAGTTTTCGGTGCTTTCTGCAATACATGCAAGGCAAGTTCCGGAGCAGTGCTCTAACAAACGGGCCACAGACCTAATCCGATCTTTCGTCACAACCATGCGTCGTCGTTTCCCCCTTACACACATAATTACATGCGCAACTCTGCCACACATGTCGAGAGAGTAATCGTAAGCCTAGAGCTTATCCCACCTTGGCTGTGGGTCCGCTGGGTCTAAAGGGAAGGTGAATTCCTCAAACCAACGAGGACTCGGTGCCTGATGTCACGTTCTGTTGGAGGAGGAACAAAGCCACCCCCTGTATATTAGAAACACTACACGTACGGAAGTAATCACAGTAATAATTGTTTATAGATTTGAGCACTCCCATTTTTGTGACTAAAATAAACTCCTAAAAAGAGAAAATAGGCGTTACAAATTTTACGTAGACACTGTAAGTGGAGTTGCAAATGACGTATCAGAAGAATTTTTAAATTTAATTCCCCATTTTATTACAGATAATATTAGTATACATTTTTTAAAAAAGGTAAGAATGAAATGTTAAAACAATTATATTAAATATAGATTTACAACGAAATACACTTATCTCTTAAATACACATATCTCTTAAATACAAACTGTCATACAAAATTATTTTCAGAAAGTTATTTCTTAGTACGCATTCAAATTATGAGGCTTGAATCTGTATCTTTTATCATTGAAAATATTTTATCTGTAACAAAAACTTCTTGTATTTCCAAATGCTAAAGCTTCGGAAGCAATTATATATTTCATTGACATTTTTCAGTAAATTCCAGTTTGTTCAGGCCACCGAAACTTTGTATATGAACCATATGTGATCCTAACCATTACTGAAAAGCATGTAGTTATGTTTCGATATGAAACGACAGACCATTCCCTTGTAAGTGAGGAATAGACAAAGCAACACATTTTGAGTAGATATGTTTGCGCCATTTTGTGTTGCAGTCAATTAGTAATGCATGATTGTTAAGACTAACTTATTGCATTAAAATACCGCATGTGTGTCAACACTTAAACCATTTATATTGAAGGACCTAGTGATTATTGCATCCCATTCTACAGCATTTTCAGCTGTTACCAACTTTAGATCTTTTGACATTTATGTCTGGTGGTTAGTTTTCTAGCCTTTCCATTTTTGAAGGGAGGAAATTTCTCAGTGACAAGTACTTGCGGCAATTAAGAATGACTAATTGCCCTGGAAAATGAAGTTCTCCAACCATTTCCTTCTTAATCCGATCCTATATTCGCTTAGTAGGGGTGAGCATTTTTAAGACCCGTTATTGTGGCGATAAACACTGGAGTCAAATATACCGGCTACGCTGTAGGGAATACAGTGGCAAATAGATTATTCCCAACAAATTCAGCCCATGCCTGGGGTGGACAACGTTCACACACTCAAAGTCATTCCAATTATGGAAATGTGTGCTGACGTTCAGAGGAAAAGAAAAAACAAATTCGTATACCTCTGATGGACAACAACTATTCGGCCGAGGTCGCTAAGGCAGTAGTGCCGTAGCGAACTCGGACCGAAGGATCGCGGGTTCGAGTCCCGCCTCGGGCATGGTTGTATGGTGTTTCGTCCTTTCACCCCCTATCAACATCATTATCGTGTCAACCCACAGTTACCATACCGGTACAAGCAATAGAGGTCGCTAATGACCTAGTAGTTGATGCGACCTTAATTAACAAAAAATAAAAAATGAAATAAAAAACAACTATTCGTTTTCTTACAGCGCCCGCAATGCTCGTGCAGTTTTACACACTCTCCTCCGTCGCACGCAGAGTGTGCACTACTCACGCAGCTACCTCAAGGATCACTTCATGTTCGGAGAGAAGGGCTTGGGATACAGTCTGGCCTACAACTACATCGGAAGTTACGAGTCTATTATCCCCAAAATGGTCTACTTCGGACTTAACTCCTACCTGGGCGGACTCAAACTTGGTAGCAGTGAGGTATGGTAAAAAAATATGCCATGTTTCAACTAAATTTTCCGTGCGTTGAGAGTACATTGCCCGTCATTAATTATCTTTTTGGTATATTTTATCTATTTGAAAGATAAACACATTTTATGCATTCAAACAAATACATCAAAATTTAACTTCTCGAGACATTTTATAATTCATATATTAATTATTCATCAAATAATATTATTTTAGTTGAGCAAATACTTACACTCGGAAAGCATTTTTTTACGACAACTCTTCTTATATATTTCTTGCGATAAGCAAATGTATTGATGTCAAACGAATTATTTATAATTGAAAGAGAGAGACGAAGCGTCTGGTTGAGTTTCAGCGGTTGCGATGGGGAGTTTACCCTGTAATAAATAATCACTCATCAGTAGAGGCAGGATTATAAAGGAATTTTTTAGTCTAAAAAAGACTTAAAATGGGGGGAAAATTGAAAAAATGACATTACAAAGAAGCATTAAAATAAGGAAAGAAATAACATATGTTAAATTTCCACTTCAATTTTTAAGGAGTTAAACTGGCACACATTTAACATTTCAAAGCGGTTGATAGTTAGATTCTGTCTTTTCGACTCCAAAATATTTTTGTATAAGAAAAATGATATTTCGACGTCGAAAGAAACGAGATAAAATTTGCTTATGGTGGTGAATTCTAAATTTGTGATTTTTACTGGTTTTTCAACATATGTGTTTTTGGGTTAATTTTACTGAAATTTGTTTCTTGCAAAACACTCATTCATACTGTCAACGTCGTCTTTCACATTCCACTGAGACCCCTTGAATTAATATTCCTCTTGGAAATGCGTGATCGCCTCTGAAAGAAATTTCAAAGCGTACACTGCATTCAATTCAAACTCTAAATTTGGATTCTTCAATCAAGCGTTTGTTTGTGCAAATATCTCTGACAACATTTCATGGTGAAAGCAAGTATAGCAAAATGAAACAAATTTTTCATTTTTTACTTAATAGTATCGCGTGGGTTTAAACGAGATTTTGTTGCAATGAAGCAAAGATCTTTCAAATGTGAGTAACTTTGTTAAACTGATGGTGAGTAACATGTTTCTTAAATACATAACGTGCGAGAATTTGCCTCAGATGATCTTGTAATTAAAAACGGAAGCATATGGTATGTTATATACAATCATCACATTCTCAAATTCATTCTCAAATCCTTAATATAGTTATCTTTTGACAAATAATGCCTATTACATTCTCCTCTTCTCTAATACACATCGTTTCTGCAGTTCGCCATCGCACTGTCAAGTCTGCGCACACTCATCGCGACAATTGGCGACCAAAAATCTGAAAGAGACCAGGAAAGAGGCCCGGGACCCAAATTTGGTGTAGGACCATTCACTTTGAGAGGCGTCACCAGCTTGGGCCCCCGCATCGAGGAGCCTCTCGAAGGGCACATTTACTTCCCATCCCCTGGTGGGCCCCAGTTCGTCAACTTCAACGAGGACAACGTGGTCTCAATAACGGAGGGTAAGTCATCTCGCTCACTCTCTTTGTCCCTCTCACCTCTTACATTTCTCTTTCTAGCTTTCTCTTTCTCTTTCCATTACTCATTCGTTTACTTTTTCTATCTCCAACCCTCTATCTTTCTCTTTCTCTTCCTTTTCTCTCTACCCACACTCTTTCCCTCTCCCTCTTGCCCCTCACTCTTCCGCTCTTCCCACTGATAGAGGTAAAGCCCTGCATGGCCTGACATGTCTCTCATTCACTGACTTAAAAAAATTAAATATATAATTTTATATGTAAATGTTCGTGTCCCGCCTCGTGCATACTTGTATTTCTATCCTTTCACTCACTATTATCACCACAGGTCATATCCATAGTTACCATAAAGTTAAATCCAATAGAGGTCGCTAATGACCGAAAAGTTGATACGACCATAAATAACAAAAAAAGAAAGTGAATAACGAGTGTGAAGATAGGGGGAATACGCGGCAGAGGTAGCAGATCTCCGAGGAAACCCGCCGCGAAAGCGCTCTCTCCGCAGCAAATTCCACATGAACCGAGCGGAGAGCGTCGCTCTACGAGTCACTCACTATGGCTGTTATAATATATTGTAACGTGCCTCGTGGCATCTATTTGGGGACGCTTGGTAAGAGATTAGTAAGAGGAAACTCCTCGCCGCAGGAAGGAGAGAAGGGTTTTTCCTTAAAGCAAGAACGCGGAAACGGAAGACACCAGGCTTTGGGGTCTTCCGGTCTTAAGAAACGGAGACCCGAACCCTTAATGGCTAGCAATCGACCGCGGCGGGGGTGGCGTGACGTAGTAGGTCACGTGAGCCTCGACTATATAACGGAGTGCACAGAGCCAGTGGGTGGGTTCTGGAGACAGTGGAAGAACATCGTGCATTTGCACAAAACTTGGCGCCTCGACGGCGCATCGGCAGGCCGGGCTCACGAGGAAGTCACGTGTTGACGAGCCTGTGGAGGACTTTGTGTCCTTGGGTAACTGCGGTCACGTGGGAGCGATGCTGTGTGCGTGCTCCGAGGTAAAGAGTGGTTGAGTGCCACGATTCACGCCGATTCTCGATCGGTTAAGATCGCTCCTGCGATCGAGGCAAACCATCAATCGCTCCCTCGATCAGGGGATAGGAGGTCTATCAGAGCTAGGGTGTAAGAAGGAAATTCATTGTAAATATTTGTTGTGTTTTCTTTGTAAATAAATATTTGTTATATGAAAGCTCTTGGTCTGTGTTCGCTGCGAGTATCCATGACGTCACAATATCAACATTTCACGTTTTCGATCATGTTTAGGTATTCAATGACCATTTAATTGTTACTTTAAAAAATGTTACTTGCGTGACTGCGCCCCCAAGCCCTTGTGGCGTCGGTTTCGAGGAGTAATTCCCCTTGAACATATTAAGCCAGCCTTACGTCAAGTCAGTTCACTGTCATAGGCTTTATCGGCCAGGGGCTCGGCGCTGTTTGTATCCGGGGTTCCCAGGCAGTCACCCAACCGGGAACCCGAGGTGACTCGAACTACGTAACTAACGTGTTCGGTTACGTTAAGAAGATCAAACGGCAAATATCTTAAAATGGCTCTGTAGCTTGTGATTTTTGTGAATACGACAGGTTCATCTACTCGACCATAGTTTACCTTCTTGCATTATGAGTAAAAAAATACTGGCAAAAATCAAGAGAAGTGTCTGACACGCCGTCTTTGGATTGTAACCATAATTAAATTGAATGGAAATTCTGTTACCATTGTATCTGCGTCTGACCTCACATATCATGAATCTTGAGGGGTTTTGTTCTGTATTGTACTGTCATCACTATCATTGTCATTTAAAAAACTATATTCAAAATCACAAAATAATAATCACTTTCATCTTCCAGAAAATATTAATTTCATTCTGTACGCAACACATTTTAGATAAACTCCAAACCCACGCTCAACTTACTAGCACAAATAGACTGGTTCGAATGGGAACATAGATGTATTTATCTCAAACATAGATAGATAGATAGATAACGTTGAAGATACTCAGAAACAGATTATCTACTATACATATTCACTATACGTATTGCAATTTATTGCGTCAATTTATCTCATCAAATAACTTAAAAAAAGTATTTAACTTGTATCCACTTATATCCCCGTATTTTATGTCTTCCAGAGACTCAATATGTGTTATACGCAACGGAGTTCATTGACGAACTCCGTTGCGTATAACACGAGTGTTAGTTTCATACCCTAAAACTGACTTTCGAGATATAGGGAAAAATGATATGTACTAAATAGTTTTCGAGCGCAAAGGATTTAAACAATGTGTCTGCCTTATGACATCCGACCACGCATTACCAGGATTGAATGAAAACTTAAAGGGTTTTGCATGATAGTTTAAGTCTAAAAATGAAATTAACACACAGATAGGCGGTGAAATTATATGATTTTAACGTTTCTGGTTCAACTACACGTGTTATGTACTACTATTTATTGAAACATTATGTCTGTTCACAGATTTGATCGTTCAGGCAATCCAGTTTTTATTTGATCAGGAGTATCACAAATCCAAGCTTTTCCATGGCTCTCGTTATTCGTACTCTGTACCTGATATCACAGGCCATATCACTTTCTTTAATATCGACGAAATCAATCTTTTACGCGCATCCGGCGACGCGGCCTTAATAAGAGAAGACGTGGTCACAAGAAATCGATACAACAGTCGCCAGGAACAGTACATAATGAGTGGATTCAAATTCAGTACGAATATAACGTAAGTATTTCCATCGTCTATAACGAGAAAAAATATTGATTCATAATATTGTTAATAAATAAAAAATAGCATTATGTACCATTAATATTTTATTTTAAATATAATTTTAATTTATATCATTAATAGCATAAATAATAATATCAATAATAATAATAATAATAATAATAATAATAATAATAATAATAATAATAACAATCTAAAGTTTTGTGGATTTGACCGTAGATAAAATTATATCTAATATATAAAATAAACATGTTTGTTTGTGTGTTTGTTTGTTCGTACTTAATGCGCTGTCGTATCGTTCATCCGATTGCGATACAACTTTTTCAACTTATTACTTGCATATGTGGAAAGAATGTAGGCCCAGTACAATGGGAATGTGCATATGCCTGCGCACATAGACGCGCGTTGATGATGATGTTATGGTGACTCAAGTGCCCCTGAACATAGCACTCTACGCAACGGCGCTCTACGCATCCCACCGCATCCTGATGTACGAGTATTAAGAGCGTTTTCATTGCATATTCTGCTCTTGCGATTGTGAAATTTTGTCCGGGAGAGAAAGATACAGAGAGAAAAAGACAGACACACAGACAGAGGTAGTCACAGATGCAGGGACAGTAACAAAGAGACAACGAGAGAGATACAGAGAGAGACAGACAGAGAGATGAGAGAGAGACGTGGAGAGGGACGAAGAGAGAGACACGGAGACAAAAAGAAACACGGAGAAATATGGAGAGACGGAGACAGAGAGGGACAGGGGGGTGAGAGAGACGCAGAGAGAAAGGGAGTGGGAAGAAGAAAGAGAAAGATGGTGGGTAGGACAACGTCAGTCGCGTTCCGCTAGTTTACAATAAACTACACTACATTATGTTCCAAAAAAATATTCTCATCCTTCTTTTTTGAAGTTAAAGCATTATCCGCAATACCCAGATGAAAAAAACAAACCAATATTAATTCTTCAAAGGAATATTATTTTCAAATAACTTGAATTTACAAAAGTATTTATATTTTTTTATTAAAATGAAAAAAACTAATATCCGCTCTCATCTCATATGTTTTCATATCTGCTAGTTTTTGTAAAGATAATTTAAAAAATGCAGCGGGTCTGTGTAAATTATGAAACGTGACTACAACCATTAGCAATAACTACTTTAAGCGAAATACTATTAAATGATATCAAACTGGCAAACAGTAGTACCTCTGTGCTGCCCTTTGTTTAAATCTCCTTAAAATCTGGAAAGAATGGATTGAAGCGGCATATTACATTATTGGTTCTTTTACGAACCAAAATACTTTAAAATAAATAATCAAACAATAAACTCCTGCTAATAAATGCTGAAACTGAAATGCGCCACAGTACGAGCTTTTTTAACAGAAAATATTTGATTTTTGACGCAACACATGAATTATTTCTCATTACCACAAATTTACGAAGTAAAGCGAGAAAGTAAAATTAGTTGACGGCAAAACACCAGACTGTCCATCTGTTTCTACTCAACACTAGTGCATGAAAGGTTTAGACAAAATTCTCCAAAACTGATATTCCTTCATCAGTCTGGCTGGAGTTATAACTCTGCGAGGTTTACGTATAATTCCATTCTTTTCTGCATTTAACATAATACCTCAACATCATTTTTAAAATTTTCGTAATAATTACTCGAATTTCGTATTATATTTTTGGTATAATACAAAATACAAATACAAAATATGCCCAAAATTGGCCCAGTCGACTGTCGACTACTGTGCCCGTTTTTTACTGAATACAAGAAACAAATTAATCCAAAAATTTTGAACCAACCCACGAAACGTGAATTCTTACTCGACACGTACTCATCCCAGATATGGGAACAACATCTACCACCTTTCCAAATCAGCCCCACAATGCAAATGTTTGTGTAGAAAACTCGCCGATACTTGAACTTCATTACGTTAGTACGTAGAGAAAAAAACGCAAAGAAGAAGAAAGGGAAATAAAATATTACCTTTAATTTCTGCAATTTAGACAGACAATTTTTTAAGCTCGATTTCATTTTAACACTTCGAGTGAGAACATCCCAGATACACTATCATATCTCCATTTATCTTTTTGCATTTCGTACAGAACCAGATAGAATTAACATCTATTCGTTCTTTGTGATCTTGAAAGCAGAATATTAATTTTTTATTATTCTCTTAAAATCTCTTGCCTTGCCTTGCCTTTCTGATTTTGCTAGTTTTTCTTTGGATATGCTGTTAGTTAAAATTCTTCTTTCCACCTCTTCCGCTATATGGTATCGGAAAACTTGTCAAGCCTCTTGTTGAATATTATAATTCAATTATTTCTTGTGTTTATAGATAGAATAATCTAAAGAGAATTCATTTCTACAAATTTGCTAGAACTAGGTTTGCTTTTCACTTCACCAACTGCCAGTGCATTAGATGGGTCACAAAAATTTACAAATATTTTATTCCATTGCTTTCTGCTGGCGTGAAAGAATAATATTAAATAATGCTTTACATCCTAGTGAAGTTGACGGGGTAAAACAAGGCAATCTTATGTGGTCCAATGTCGACAACTCGTACAAATGGAAGTAATAGAAAACGGTGAACAACTAATTCAAGGGCATCATTTTACTAAGCTATCCAGATGCTAATGGAAATGCTATTTGAAACTTGTAGCATAAAATTTGCAGTTAAACCCCCTCTGCATACATTGTCGTCGCGACATATAGTGCAAAAAAGCATGTCACTCAACACTAATATTCACCCTGCTTATTAAAATGACCGTTATTCACTAAAAATTGACTGACTATCTACTTCATCAGATTATCCACGGACATTGGAACCAACGTGTATAATCCAAATGCTCTGATGCATATAAATACGTGTGCGGACCGATGTGGGCGACATCCCGAATTCGGCAAATTTCCAGTAATCAGAAATTTGGAAACACAAATAAAATAACTTTGAAATTAAAGAAAAGAGTGGAAAATGTTCCAACTGTCATAAAACTGTCATAAAATCCAGATACCGTGGTAAGTGGACTGGTAAATTTTATTGTTCATCAGTGCGTAGTCTATAATTTCCTGTGTTCCCGATATTGTATAAGAAAGTTGTAGCAACCGAAATAAGATTTTTCGAGTGGGGTCTTGCATTTTATTAACGTGTGGTTTCTGGCGGGTACTTTCATGTTAAAACGTTTAATTTGTTATATGCATGATTCTAATAAAAAATACAGTTTAAACGTATTACAATTGCCTAGATCGTCCATTTTCAGGCATAGAAAGTATGTTTAATATTTCGTTTTATTACAAAAGTAGGCTTAATTGCTGTCATTCGGGCGAATTAAAGTCGTAATTCAAGTAAATGCCGAAAAGAAAGTACGATAATTCACAGCATTTCATCAATGTACTCGTAGTATCATTGAAACCTGATAATATAAACGTCTTTTGTATACTTATTATGCTGACAATACTGCATGTAACTTTCTTTTGGTATCGATGAATAAAAATCTATTTCATTATGATTATAAATTCTTATTTTTTTATATTCACTGAAATTATAAAATTTTACTCTTCGTAACACGCTTCCTTCATCATTTCCTTCCAAGAAACCGTACCTTACTTGTTTGCCTCCATTGACAACATATGATTCGGTAATCATACTCATACAATACTCCACACAAAAAAACTAGCTGAAATACATGTTTCTCTAGACTTAGAGGAAGCGATCTAAGAATATTTTCAATCAAATTGGCTTTTCGAGAGGAATCGAATGAGCTATTACCCATCGCAGTAGACTCAGAAGAGATTAAACCGAGCTTCTTGCTTTCTTCGCAGGGGATTGGAAAATGTTCGTATAGGCGAGCTGAATGAGCGTATGAGTATTTTCTGATAACAATGGGACCCTAATCTTCGATAAACACGCTATGTGATTTTGCGGAGCAGTGTGTCGTGATGACCACAGCAAGTTACAGACAAACCAAACGTGATTCCTTCATGGGACATGACAACCATTGGTAACAAGCACAAATAGCACCAAATTCCATCTGGTTGTTCGTTCAGTGTGTTCCTAAAATCGCTTCGAGGTGAACCTAGAGCTCAGCGAACCTACTCGTATTACTCACAATGAAGGAAACCTTGCAATGGAAAAAGCCTAATAAGTAGTATTAAAGAAATTGAATTGGGTTCTATTATTTATTATAATAAATTATTAATATAAGGGTTTGATTTCGTCTTCATTAGTCCGGGCTTATATTGAATATGACAGCGGTATCCGCATTCTACACATTTATTCATTTTATATGGCGGTTGTTAGATATTTCAACAATCCCAACGCATTTAGAAACATTGAGGAGCTGCAACAGCACATTTTTTAAATATTTTTGGTAATGCCTACGAATTATTTTAACATTGCAACGAATCCTGTAGAAACTCTAGCCATCTCTTGATTTTCATTTAAACCTCCAAAATTTCGAAACTTGCGAATGTTCGTTTGTTCGAATCCCTTCTACATCTTTAATATTGAGGGTAGATAAAGGGTCCTTAATACAACTCAATAGAAAATTCTTCCTTTAAATAATTTTATGTACATTTTTTTCGAAATGAAAATACTTTTCACGTAATTTTTTAGCGAAATTGTGAAATTTTTCCACAAATACCTTAGAACAATTTTCTCAGGCAGTGCTCTACATCTACCGTTTTTTCACCATTCGCAGTTTGTTTAGTTAAAAGGTTTTTATATAATTACTGGTAAACAATATAAATAATATGAGAAAGTGTGTGTTATTCTACCATCACATGTTAATTATTTAAAAATATTTGTACATACTACATACTTTTATATACAATACATATTGTACATGCTGGCAGTACAATTAGATTCCTTGCTGGTAACGTATTACATCTGGTATAATCAGTTGTCGAATATTGTACAATATACTACACTTACTTTATAGGATATTATAAAATATTACCAATTTTTTCAATAATTAAGCATACAGAACTTAATTTTATA